CCATTTTTCCAGGTGTCCTCGCTCAAGCGATGTGTTTTTCGCTTGAGTGACCTTAGATAGCGGTTCTAGAACTAACCGCTATTAAAAGTATATTTTACATAGCGGTTAACGTGGAACCGCTATTATATGTCAATTATTTTTAAAACTATGATCGATTATTTCACGTTATAATCGATTATCAATTTATTCGCTCAAGCGATGAATGTCTCGCTTGAGCGAGAGTTGCCCACGGTCCAACTATATGTCTCACTTTTAAGAGCGGTTAATATTTTAACCGCTCTTAGAAGTGAACATATAATAGTGGTTCCACGTTAACCGCTATCTAAAATATATTTTTAATTGCGGTTAGTTCTAGAACCGCTATCTAAAGTCTCTGGTCAACTCTCACTCAAGCGACAGATATTTCGCTTGAGCAATAAGTGATTGAAATATGTGGTGACCCAAGTTGCATTATTTGGCTAAACGTCCAACGCAGTTAGCCACATAACGCAACTTGGGTCACCACATATTTTAATCACTTATCGCTCAAGCGAAATATCTGTCGCTTGAGCGATAGTTGACCGGAGATAACTGCGTTCTTACGGATTTCCTCGCTCAAGCGAAGGGTTTCTTCGCTTGAGCGAGAGTTCATTACGCGAAATAATATTATTTTAATACGTGAACAGTAAACAGTTGCGCAAAATAATATTATTTTATTACGTGAACAGTAAACAGTGCTAGTTGTGTAAATAAAGTTGCAGAGGTGCTATTTTGGAAAATATTTTTGAAAACAGTATTATTTATGAAAAAAAGCCCTAGGTTCGATTCTTGCTAGTGACAATTCTTTTAGTTTAATATAATTTACCTACGGATAGAATTCCGTAGGTAATATCCGTAGGTAATGTACAATTTACCTACGGATTTTCATCCGTGGGTAATATCCGTAGGTAATGTAAAATTTACTTACGGATTTTTATCCGTAGGTAATAGACTTTTTTTTGTAGTGTATGTTGAGTGATTCTTTAATTTACATAAAAAAAAACTATTTCTATTTTAAAAAAAAGAGAATCTCATACACGTAATTACGACTTTTATTTTTTAAAAAGAGAAAGATCTCATAAATTTAGTTCGTATCTCTAATTCAAGTTGACCAGTCTATAATCTTGAGTCTAAAAAATAAAAAATAAAAACTTGCCTTTTGGAGAAATACAAAATATATTTATTTTTACTTTCAGTTATATAAATAAATAAAGAAAAATAAACACAAGGACATTTAAAGATATCAACTTACCAAAATCCTAATTAATTTATATCACATAATTTGTCTGCTTTGAAGTTATGATTTGATTTCATTGAAATTTTGGATTAAAAGAAACTTAGTAATTAAGCATTTCAAAAACTTACTTATATGGGTACATTAAAAAACTAAGGGTTAGTGGCAACTTTTTCTTAACACATAATAAAGTATACTCCATTCTTGTGTAGTAGATTTGAAGATCTTAAACTCTTATTTTCTCTCATTTCTCTACTTTCATAATTTAAATATTTTTTATATCTTTAAAAGAATTATTAATTTGAAAATTGGATTAGAATAACCTTGTTTAACCGATACTTAGTTTGCTACTTTCAAGAAATTCAATGCTAATTAAATTAATGTAAAATTAGAAAAATAAAAAAATCGATTAAGTTTTTTTTAATCAAACCAGTTTAATAAAAAAATTAAGATATTTTTTTCATTTAAAAAATATTTTTTTATAAAAGATGTAATATTTTTATTTGTTTTTCTTTTTTTATCTCACAAGATTTATTATATTCTCATTTTACGATTATCAATTTTAAACTTTATTATATTATTATAATTTATAGTGACGATCTGATAGTAAACTTTTCTATTATTATAATAATTTTTTATTTATTTATATTTTTATTATATATTAATTATATTATAAAAGTATTTTTTTATTAAATTTGATTAGATTTTCAAGAAATTACGAGGATAAAGAAATTGTTAGAAGGTATTTTATTTGATTTTTATCAAGTAATTATATACTTAATGTTGCATTAAGAAACAATGATTGATAAAACGATTAGTTAAATATTCCTTATAAATCTTGTTGAGTTGATAATAAGAATAGTGGTTGAATTTTTAAATTCTAAACCTTGATTTTGACCTGTGTTAAAAAACATTGAAAATAACTTAACATAAACTCAAAAAACTTGAATTTATATATATATACTAAAAAAATGATATGCAATAATACAAAAGGATTGATAATGCAGGCATGAAGAGGCAGAAATATAAATGAAAGACGGACAAAATTAGGTTTGAGGAAATGAGTCACACTTGCACACAACACAAACACACAGAAAAAGACATGCAATGATACAATACAAATCAACTACATTGCTTTTATTCAAATTAAATACTTAACTCATTGCCAAATCAAACATTCTTCCATTAATTAAATTTTAGAACAATAAGATTACTTGAAGCAACGTTTCAAAGAAATATGTAAGTTATTGAATTTTTTTATTAAATTCCACTAATATACTCAACAAGTTTATGAAGTACTAAAATGATTTGAAGAAAAATTTGTAGAGATACAATATTAGTTTTCGTAATATCACGAGAAAAAACATTACAAAAACCAATATTCCTCTTTTAAAATCATATATATATATATATATATATATATATATATATATATATATATATATATATATATATATATATATATTTAAGACGTGAAGAGATAGATTTAAAATTTTAATAGAAATTTAATAGTATAATATTTTTATAATATAATAAATATATGAAAAATTTATTAGGAATAATATTCTTTTATAAAAAAATAAGCAATTTATAATAAAAATTATAAATATAAAATATATTAAGAATTTTAAAAATAATTATTAAAATAAGATAAAAATATAATAAAATAATTATTATTTAAAATTTATATAATTAATATAAAATAAAAAATAAAAAATTTATATTATTTATAAAAAATGATATTAAAAAAAATTTAATCTTAGTTTTTTTATCAAAATTAATTCGATCCAAAAATCTAGTATTATTTAAAAATAACATATTAATTTTAAACTAATTTATGTTAGATAAGTGATCTATTGTCTAATCTAATTTTTAAAACAATAATATAAATATTTCCTTTTCTATTAAAAAATAACGATATATAAACACATATTTTATCATTATTTATTATTTATATTTTTAGTATACATTACTATAACTTTTTATATTTTTATGCTAAAATTTTATTGAATTTTAAAAAATAATTAATATGAATTTTTATATAAAAATAAAATTCACAATGAAAAATTATAATAAAAAATAACGTTACATACACATTTTATATACCATAAATTCTATTGTTATTTATTTTACTTATTTTAAATATAAATTTTATTTATATTGATACAACGTTTAAACAAATACTCTTTATTAAAAGTCATTGTATTTTTAATTATCTTTTTCTAATTTTTTGTATCAATTTACAGTAAAAAAATCGATAATTTTTCTAATTTTTAAAAAGACATTATAAAATCAAACTATATTAATTAGTTTTGTTGAAAAGTAATATTTTTTATATCACATTAAATCTCTTGTCTTATCTAATTTATTTCTTTCACTTTTAAATCTTAGTAACTGCCACGTGGTGTCGACAAGTTTTATTTTTTCATAAAAAAGTAAATATAGAAACACCAGAAGAATAAATGAGACAAAAAAACAAACATCCCCAACCATGACCAATTTATTATTCTCAAACCAGTGCCCATTTCCCAAGTTTTTATAACCTTAAAACCCACTCTCACTTCTATTCATCTGCACTTAAGCGCTCACCCACTCCACATCCCTCTTTTTTATCTCCACTCACTTCCAATTCCAATCCAACTCAAACACCTCTTCCACCTTATCTGAGTTACCCTTTCACTGTTTCACTCTGTCCACAAACAAAAACAGTTTCTTTCCTCAACTTGTCTGTTTCTTCCACTCATGCCATTGACTCTTGACCCCAAAGTCAACAATAAGCTCAGATAGCTGAGAGGGGGTTGATTTCAGAACCATGGTTCTTCTGCACACCCCAGAACAAAAAACAAAATATGATCTTTCCATCATGGGGTTGTTCTTCTGCTGATTAGGTATGTGGTTTTTCAGGTACACGGACAGTAAAGGGTTCTGATGAAGTTTTTAGCTCTCTGGATTTTGCTTGGTGGGTTTGTTTTGAGGGGAGAGTTATATCGCTGATCTGTGAATAGCACACCATCTCCTAAACCCACCCTGCTCCATTTTGTTGTTATCTGAATTATAAAATAGAAAAAAAGGGTTCATTTTTTATAACATGTTTTCTTAATTTTCCTATTTTTCAGATGTGTGATCTATCTTCAGGGAAAGCTGTAATATGACTTAGTTATTTATGGTTTTACCTTATAGTTATCAACTGTAGAAGATAATTAGCCCGTGTTTTGTTTCTTGTAATGTTTTTGGAAAAGAATGCTTTCGTTTTTCTTCCAAAAGCTCTTTGAGAAAGTTTCAAGATGAAAAGATGATTATTTCTTAGAATACGGTAATTCAGATATGCGTTCAGTCATTGTTGTCAGAATTAAGGTGTCCGTGTTACATTCTTTGCTTTAGCCACACCTTTAGTTCTAATAGTTAAAGAGAGAATTAGGTGTTTCAATATTGATATATGGTATGGATGTTTTGCTGACTTTCAATTTTTAGATTTTTTGCAATTGTATGACAAATTTGTATCCATGAGTTCAACATCTAAAAGTTTGCAAATCCCGTTGCATTTGAGTCATTGGTTTAAATAATCTTTTATCTCCTCTGTTAGCAAATATTTGGATTTATTACTATCTTGGAGTTCAATTGATGTCATTTAGATCTAGATGAACATTAAATTAACAGAAAATCTTGCCAACTCTGTGACAGTGGGCCTCTGCAGGACCAGTCTTCTGCAAAATGATTTCATCCTTTGAGTATCAAGAGAGATCAAAGAATGGTTTACCAAACTGATTTAGTTATCATTGGTGTTTCTGCTGGTTTGGCCCTTGGAATTCTGATATCATGCCTCATATTTTTTGGCATAAGGTGGTACAAGAAACGTGCTGCTCATCTTAGACTATCTGCAAATGATTCTAGTGGAACAACTCTTCCAATACGAACAAATGGGTTGGGAACAAGTACGGACTTTAGTGCATCACTAAATAGTTCCATAGCCACATCAAGGTCAGACAATCTTAAGAAAAATTCCCATTTCAATTGGTGGAGTCATAAAAACAAAGACCGGTTTGCGTCAGCATCAGGCATTCCAAAGTATTCATACAGGTATGCACTTTTCTCTCTTAAGCATGACGTTAACTCTTATTTTTCCTAATTGTTCTGTATATGGATAACTACTATTAAATTAGAAACATATAACTATAGATATCAAAATGTGTTGATTATTTTATTTGTGGCATTGTGAACTTTTATATCTCTTTATAAGGAAGTTTCTTTATTAGTTGGATGAATTGCCTTGCAAATGTTACCTTGGTTCAGAGGGCAAAAGAAAATGAGACAGTAGGGAAATGGAGATGTAAAGTAATTACAGATAAAAAAAGTACTTAAGGGATATCAACATTGTAATGGTTCGAATTTGACACTTTACATGGTGCAGAGAAATTCAAAAGGCCACACAGAATTTCACGACAACCTTGGGACAAGGATCATTTGGGACAGTTTATAAAGCGACAATGCCTACAGGGGAGGTTGTAGCAGTGAAGGTGCTTGCACCCAATTCCAAACAAGGGGAGAAAGAATTCCAAACAGAGGTAAATTTGGTACTTGGTTTGTGGGATGCAGAATTTTTTATATTTTGAATCTTCATGATTTGTACAGTAATAGAAAAAGGTTCCATAATTATCTTATACATTTCCTCCTGAGCCATTCATATTTCTTTCCTTTAGTTCAGAGACTCATATACACATTAAAGGTATTAAACCTTTACAAAGATGATTTGATACTTGTTTGTTTAACTTGAATTGAAGTGATTAATAATTTAGCTGGTGATGATTATCCTCTCTTTTGCCTCAATTACCCTACATGTTGAAGAGTTTATTATCAATATATATATATATATATATATATATATGTGTGTGTGTGTGTGTGTGTGTGGTGATTCTATTCTCAAAATCATTTTCTGTTCTTAAAAGCATAAAAGCAAAAGAAGAAACAGAAAAACTTGTTTGATAAGATTCATTTTTGAAAACTGTTTTCAAAACTAATAATTAAAAGAAAAACAGAACATCTAAGTTGTTTTGGTTTTCTACTTTAAGTTTTCTGTTTCTGTTATATATGTAGTTGATGATATTGGTTCTAATTTAAGCAATTCAGGATAAGCTGATATTATAACATCAGTCATCAGCTTAGGTTTGTTGAACTTTTGATATTTAACATATTGCTTCAGGTATTTCTGCTAGGAAGACTGCATCACCGGAATCTTGTGAATTTGGTTGGATATTGTGTAGATAAAGGGCAACGCATACTGGTTTATCAGTACATGAGTAAAGGAAGTTTAGCAAATCTTTTATATGGTAAGAGGAAGATCTTTCTTTTTCATCTACATTTTTTACGTGACTGTTCTTTGTGAAGTATCTATATAATTATGTCTCTTACTTTTGCATGTTTGAATTTGTCACATGACAAACCAAGTTGTCTCAATTGAGAATAGTCTGCAAATGTTTGTAGGTGAAGAAAAGGGATTGAGTTGGGATGAAAGGCTGCAAATTGCTCTTGATATTTCACATGGAATAGAATACCTTCACGAAGGAGTATGTATTTTCATTGATGTATTTTTTCTTAAACAATGTGAAAATGTGTTGGTTAATACGAATATGCATGGAACAGGCAATCCCACCTGTTATACACCGTGATTTAAAGTCTGCCAACATATTGCTAGATCACTTAATGAGAGCTAAGGTAATATTGTTTGTGTAAGCTTTTTTTAATAGTCAGACGCTCATTCATTTTCCTGATTTTGCATAAGATATTATATCAAACAGTGCTATCCTTCCCTGGTTATATTTGTTATTGTGGATGAAAAGAAATTTGTGAATGACTTCATCATAATCAGAGAGAGGTACTTATATGGGGGATGGTGGCTAAGTGATAGAAATTCAAGAAGCTTAGGTAGCATGTCTAAAGTTTGTGTTTATATTATAATAGATAATATAACAGTTAAATTTGACATTTATGGCATTGATAGATAGTATTCTGTCCAAATATAAATAAATTATCTTCAAAATTATACTATGCAGGTTGCCGATTTTGGACTCTCAAAAGAGGAGATCTTTGATGGCCGGAATTCTGGTCTCAAAGGTACATATGGCTACATGGATCCCGCATACATTTCCACAAGCAAGTTAACAATGAAGAGTGACATATACAGTTATGGTATCATAGTGTTTGAGCTCATCACTGCTATCCACCCTCATCAAAATTTGATGGAGTATGTTAACCTTGTAAGTTACTTTTCTTTGGAAAAGTTCATCATACACTTCACAATTTTTGTCTCATTCGCATATTTATCTTTGTTTTGGAAGGCTGCAATGGATCATGATGGTGTAGATGAGATACTTGACAAGCAACTAGTGGGAAAATGCAATCTTGAAGAAGTGAGGCAACTTGCTAAGATCGGACATAAATGCTTGCACAAATCACCTAAGAAACGCCCCTCCATAGGTGAGGTTTCTCAGCTCATATCAAGAATAAAGCAAAGGCGACAGCGCTGTCTGACAGAAGATAACTTGTCATTTGCAAGCACCAACTTTTCTCGAGCTGTGAGTCGATTAGAAGATCGACAGGTTGAACTTGGCAGGATGTCAACCATTAGCCTCACAGAAACTGTATGAATATAATTACTTGTATATAGTGAGTTAGAAGAAAAATCACTTTGGTCCATTGGTACTCTGGGACCAACGAAGTTTACAGCTAATCTAATGAAATGACTTCTGTTGCAACATGTTGAAATCAATGTTCCATTGTTGGCATTCTAAATCATAGAGTGGAGGGAAAATTCAATATACGAACCCTGATTACTCTGATGCAGGAGAGAAACACGAGTTCCTGCATGTTACTAATATTATTATTATTATTATTCAAACTAACTCTCACATAGCATACCATTTGGATAAAATCACCACCCAAGATACCTTTTTTTATTATTACTCTTCATTCTTTCCGGCCATTACCATAACTGCCTTTGTTTTGGTCCATTTGAAATACTGTTTCTTGAAAACCCACCTGGACTTATTGCTTTATCATGGAGACAAGAACAACAATTGATAAAATTAGGTGCTCAGCTAAGTTTTCTGACGAATACTAGTTTTAGTAAAATTGAGAAATGTTTCATACTAATGAATTAGACGAATTTTAGTCATATTAGTTATTATTAAAGTAGACAATTGTCTCCCGATAATGAATCTGACTAATATTAGTAGTTAGAAAAAATTTATAAATGTCCATGACAGATCTTCTTTGAGAATGATTGTTTTTTCAAAATTTTGTAATTTTTATTATTTTTTAAATTTAATGATTATTAAATATATTTATTTAGATATTTATAATTTTATTTTTTATATTTATTTATTATTTATTAATAATATATTAATGCTTATACTAAGACATGTATCAATGAATGGTAAGATATAAAGAGAGGTCACAGATTCTATTAAACCATAAACCAATAAATTTTCGGTGGATAATTTATTTTTATAAAAAAATATAATAAAAGATGTTTGGATAAATTTTAAGAGAAAGTGATATTTTAAGAATTTAACAAAGCGATTTAATCACTTAAAATATGAAAATTTTAATTTTTATATAAAAATTAAAATAAATATTTTTCATATTTTTATCTTTTATATTTTTTTATGGACTTGATTTAGATTGGGTTTTCGTGGATGAAGTTAGAACATCATTTTTTTTTCAAATGTTGACTAGGACAGCTTCCCTCACCTTCACTAAAATTGTTTTTTTTTTTATCAGTGTCTACTGGAATTTTTTATTTTTATTTTACAAATAAGATTTACTAGTAATATTTTATCGGGTTTTGATTTATGATTGAGGAAACTGTTAATAATACACAAAAAAGTAAAATAATTAGCAATGTTAAATTTGTGAAATTGAAATAAAGACTACACAATATTGCATATTCTCATATATTTCTCATCTTCTTCCTATTATTAGTACCTACCCTACCAAATGGAGAAAAAAATAGTCACACTAGTAACGAGGACCATCATGATTTGTGATGCTTTATTGCATAAAAGTCTTGCCCTCAGCTAAAGTTTAGATGACTATTCTAATTAAAGAGACTTGAAAATATGATGTATCATGCATTTATTTTATTGTACAAAAGTCTTGCCCCTCAAACAAGTTTACTTGACTAGATGCTAGTAAATTCTAAACGATATTCTTGGTCTAAAGTTAAACACTATCTTCCATATAATATGATATGAATCACAAGATGAGTTAAGATATTTAAGACTAGAACCTTAATAAATTTAGAAATTTAGTGATAGGGTGAAAGAAAAAATTACTCTTCTTATGACAGACAATAAAAAAAGATGTGAAAATTCTTTAATTCGATCAAGAATTGTTAAATCACTCAAGAACTCCTTTAATTCGATCAAGAATTGATAAATCACTCAAGAAGCTGAGGAAAATTACTACTCACTTAAGATAAAAGAGATAAACTCTAATATTTATAAAAATAAAATTCAACTTGTTATTTATGATAAAAATGGTTCAACTTATAAGTCATCAAAATTACAAATATTGATTAAAGGAAAATAAATGCTAATAATGATTTATTAACCTAAGAATTAAAAACTACTTAATTATTAACTGTAATCTGAAATTGTGGCATCCAAAAATCAATTAGCACCCTCTTCGTCTCTTAAAGATAAATAACTAAATTTCCAATTGAGTCGTTATTACAACTTTTAATAAAACTAAACTAAAACCCATTTATTGATCCAAAATACAGTTTTTTCAACCAACTTGAAGAAGAAAAACAGTATCATAAGTGAACATTGTTCATCAGTTTCTTCTATTTTTTGTCTATAAATGACTTGCACTAACTAGTGAATTCATTTCATATCTCAGTTAACATATCGCCCTTGCATGTTTCACATTTAATACCGCAAAACATGTTTAATTGCAACTATTTCTTTTATGTGGCCACCCTTTTGTGCATCTTTTCATGTCTTGGAAGTTTCCATGCAGAGATGTGCGTGGAAACAGACAAGCAAGCTCTTCTCAAGTTAAAAGAAGGTTTCGTTCATCGAATGGACCTTCAGTCTTCATGGAATGGTGACGATTGTTGTAACTGGAAAGGAATTTCATGCAATAATTTAACTGGCCACGTAACCACATTGGATCTTGGATTTTCAAATTTTACAACAGTTGAAGATTTAAACTATCTTGTGGATACGATGCCAACAATGAAATTTTTCGGTGGTCCTACAGCGTTGGGAGGTAAGATAGATTCTTCAGTATGCGAACTGCAGCATCTCACTTTCTTAGATCTCAGTCATAATTACTTGCAAGGAGAGATCCCAGAATGCATTGGTTCACTTAGTCACTTGACAGAGTTGACGCTTGCATGGAATGGTCTTAATTCCATTCCTGATGCTCTGTCCAACCTTTCCAATTTGCAATATCTTGACCTTGGCAAAAATGATTTTGTTCCAAATGACCTTGATTGGCTTTTTCACCTTTCTACTTTGAGATACCTTGATCTTTCATATAACAATCTTGGTGCAGTTATTGATTGGCCATCATCAATAAGCAAAATCCCTTTTCTATCTGAACTCTATTTAAGTAACTGTGGGCTCCCCAAAGTCAATCCTAAGTCAATCTTCCATATCAATTCTTCCACTTTCCTCCAAACCCTCAGTCTATCAGGAAATAATTTTGACTCCTCAATTCTGTCATGGGTGTTGAATGTTAGCAATGTCCTCACAGTTCTTGATCTCTCACATAATGAACTTGATGGTAGCATAATAAAGTCCTTTAACATTTTGTGCCAACTTAAGGAATTGTACCTGGGTTCCAATAATTTTTCTGGCCAACTCAGTGATTACTTGCCAGAAATTTGTTCAGCAAAACACGATTTAGAGGTGTTGAATCTCGACCACAACCCATTTACTTTTGGATCGCTCCCTAATTTTTCACTGTTTTCATCCTTGAAAAGGCTCTCACTTCAAAATACCAGTATTGTTGGGTCATTATCATTTGGTCACTTGCCTCGTCTTAAATCTTTGGATCTCAGTTTAAACCATTTGAATGGATCTTTGTCTATATTAGACGTCACTAAATTTGCCTCATTACATTTTTTGGATCTTTCACACAACAATTTTAGTGGCACACTTTCATATACTATTGCACAACTTTCAAATCTCTGGTTTTTGTCCCTCTCTTCGAATATGTTGAATGGGGACATTAGTGAAGAGCATCTATTAAACCTATCTGGATTGAAAGTATTTGATGTGAGTCAAAATTCACTTGCATTTAACTTGAATCCAGATTGGGTTCCACCTTTCCAATTGGTGGCATTATATGCATCATCATGCATTTTGGGGCCTCAATTTCCAAAGTGGCTTAAACATCAAAGGAAGCTTCAGGTGCTGCAAATCTCTAATACCTCCATTATGGATTTATTTCCTGAATGGTTTGGGGATATATCTTCAAGTTTGTTATACATAAATGTTTCTCACAATCAACTTAGTGGAGTCTTGCCAAAATCATTATCAATGATAAAAACAGGGCTTGTGAGTACATGGGATTTTAGTTTCAATAATTTGTCTGGTCCACTGCCTCCTTTTCCTCCAAAAGTATATCAACTATTTCTCTCAAACAATATGCTGTCAGGGTTTGAATCTTCCTTTTGTGAAACATCCCCAATGTTTGCAACTTATCTTGACCTGTCCAGTAACTCACTCAGAGGGCCACTTCCAAATTGTTGGCAGAAATTTCAAAGTTTGGAAGTTCTGAATTTGGCAAACAATAGTTTATCAGGGAGAGTACCAAAGTCATTTGCCAATTTACAAAATATTGTGTCGATGCATCTAAATAACAACAACTTCTCTGGTGAAATTCCATCTCTGACACTCTGTAAAAGAAGCTTAAGAATCATTGATTTGGGGGATAATATTCTTGAAGGAACATTACAAACATGGTTAGACTTTGATAATTTGATTGTGTTGCGTCTACGAGGTAATAGGATTGAAGGAAGCATACCCAGAAGTCTATGTAATATATTCTCTCTTCGAATAAAGGATGAGCGCGCAGCGTTAGCCAATAACTATAGTTGTTAGTAAGGGTTCACACTACGATACTTAAACCCTCCGGTCCCACCACGATTCCGCGACTCTGATTCCCCCGCTCTTCGGGAATCTCGTGGGGACTTACCACCCGCTGCCCTAATTCCGTCCTCGGCAGGAATCGAGTGCGCGTCCTCGCTCTGATACTAAAGGATGAGCGCGCAGCGTTAGCCACTTAGCCAATAACTATAATTGTTAGTAAGGGTTCACACCACGATACTTAAACCCTCCGGTCCTCTCTTCGAATATTGGATCTCTCATCAAACAATATTATTGGAGAAATACCACAATGCATAGGTCAAATAAGTGCTATGTCAGAAGGGAGATTTTATAGAGAAGGCATTCAGTATGGAACGTCCGCACCTTTAATATTTCATGATAGTGGAATTGGCTTTTTTATTGATGAAATAACATTGACATGGAAAGGACGAAAATACACATTTGGGAAAAATCTTGCACTTCTAAAAACCATTGATATTTCAAATAACAACTTAACAGGGGAGATACCGAAAAATATAACATCACTAATGGGTTTAGGCAGCTTAAATCTTTCAAAAAATAATCTCACAGGATTCATTCCCGACAACATTGGTCATATGACGAGCTTGGAATCACTTGACTTGTCAAGAAACCATCTTTGTGGAAGAATTCCAACAAGCTTTGTAAATTTGAGTTTTCTTGGTATAATAGACTTGACTTTCAACAACTTATCAGGAAAAATTCCAGATGGCACGCTACTACGCACCTTTGATTCCTCTTCATTTGCTGGGAACATTGGGCTTTGTGGCCCACCACTGACAAACGAATGCCCAAGAGATGTGATTCCGCCATATGAACATCATGGTCATGGGGATGAACACAGAAGCTTTGAGTTTTATATCAGCCTCGGGTTGGGATTTTGGGTGGGATTTTGGAGTGTTTGTGGAACTTTAATCATAAAAAGTTCATGGAGACGTGCTTATTTTCAGTTCTTCCTCAACATAACCGATTGGATATATGTGACAGTTGTTGTCTTTACAGCCAGAATGAAAAGAAGATTCCAAATTCAAGATCTGAAGGTAAAATTTTTGGAATCTCTTATTTTGTTATGATAGCATAGCAATGATTAAGTTCTTATTGTGCACACAATGAATAATGCTTGTTAAGAATGCGAGATAATGACTTTCCATTATTTTCAGTGTTTGGTAGGCAAAGCAATGGTGAGACAGTGATATGCTGCAATGTTTTGGTTGATTTGAAGGCAGATATCAGTACCATTAGTCTTGTGATCGTGCAACCCTCATGAAAGGTTTTGGACCAATTGTGTTAAACTAATAAATGTATTTTTACTGTTAATTGTTAATGTTTTTTTCAATTTTTAATTTTTTCCAATTACATATCACATGTCATAAAGATATCATTTTCCATTGAATCTGTTCAATCACATACATATTCCATGTCATACTTTTTATATTCTACTCTTCTATACCTTTCTGCATCTTTTATCTACAATGTGATGTACTTTTCTAGCTATTCATTTAGAAATATTGACGGTCATTTTAAAAAGTTAAAGCACTTAGATTTAAGAAATTACAGATAAATTAATATAGTTTTATTATTTTTTTCACCATTGGATAGAAATTATATAGAAAATATATTTCTATACAATTATTCATAAGAATTGACGGTGTTCATATGGCTTTGCAAACACTCTTCAATATCTGGATCTGTCGTATAATAAACTTGGTGGTAGCGTGATAAAATCCTTTGAAACTTTGCGTCAATTTACGGGTTTGAAGTTGCTATCTCTTAGGTATAATTCATTTAGTAGTGGGCCACTTCCTAATTTTTCTCAGCTTCCGTCCTTGGTTCAATTGATGATGGAAAACACCAGTATTGTTGGGTCACTCTCATTTGATCACTCACCCCATCTTGTGTATTTGGATCTTAGTTTCAACCATTTGAATGGATCAATACCTGAATTCGAGGTCAGTAAAGTTGCCTCATTACAATTTTTGGATCTTTCTCATAATCAATTGAGTGGGACAGTTCCATATGCTATCGGGCAACTTCCTAACCTCAGCTACTTGTCTCTCTCATCAAATCATTTGAACGGTATCATTAGTGAAACACATCTTCTAAATCTATCAGAATTGAAAGCATTAGATGTGAGTCGAAATTCACTTCAATTTAACTTGAATCATAATTGGGTTCCACCTTTCCAACTGCAACAATTATGGGCATCATCATGCATTTTGGGGTCTCAATTTCCAACCTGGCTCAAGTATCAAAGGAATCTTCAAGTGCTGGATATCTCTAATACCAGTATCATAGATTCGTTTCCTGAATGGCTTTGGGACATATCTTCAAATTTGTTAAGCTTCAATGTTTCCCACAATAAACTTGGAGGAGTCTTACTAAAATCCTTACCCAATACAAATCCAGAGAGTGCAACTGTATGGGATTTTAGTTTCAACAATTTGTCTGGTCCAGTGCCTACTTTTCCACAAAATCTAGGTAGTCTATTTCTCTCAAATAACATGTTTTCAGGGTTTGTATCTTTCTTTTGTACAACGTCACCAAAGAATTTAGCCTATCTTGACTTGTCCAGTAATTCACTAGCAGGGCCACTTCCAAATTGTTGGGAGAAATTTAAAAGTTTGAAAGTTCTGAATTTGGCACACAATAGATTATCTGGGAGAATACCTAAGTCATTTGGTACTCTAAGGCAAATTAAGTCAATAGATTTATGTAGCAATAACTTCTCTGGTGAAATTCCATCTTTGACTCGTTGCAGAAGCTTAAAATTCATCGACTTTGGGAATAACATTCTCCATGGAACATTACCAACATGGATAGGCCACAACCTGCATCATTTGGTTGTTTTAAGTCTGCCAAATAATAAGATCCAAGGAAGCATACATGCCAGTCTATGTAATCTAAGATTTCTTCAAGTTTTGATTCTCTCTTCCAACAATATTAAAGGGGAAATACCACATTGCCTCGGTCACATTGCTGCTTTGTCAAATATAAAGTTCGAAAGACAAATTCTTTTCTATCGTCCATATGGATATTCTTTTGATGATATTACTCAAACTAAAACTCTTAATGATGAAGTCACTTTGGCATGGAAAGGACAAACCAGGGAATATGGGGAAATTCTTTGTTTTGTGAAATTCATTGATCTTTCTGGTAACCTCTTAACTGGAGAGATACCCCAAAGTATAACAACACTTGTGGCCCTAGCTGGTTTGAATCTTTCCGGAAATAATCTCTCAGGATTTATCCCCAGCACCATTGGTCATATGCAAAGGATGGAATCACTTGATTTGTCAAGAAACCATCTTTATGGTGAAATTCCAGCAAGCCTTTCAAATTTGACTTTTCTCAGTTCGATGAACTTGTCTTGCAACAACTTATCTGGCGAAATTCCAAAAGGCACTCAACTACAATCCTTTGATGCTTCTTCATATGTGGAAAACAGTGGACTTTGTGGCCCACCACTCCCAAATCAATGCCCATGGAATTTGATTCCATCGTCCAGAAGAGTTGATAAGAATGGCATTGAGGAAGACGAGGATGAACTCATAAACTTCGGCTTTTACTTCAGCGTCGTTTTGGGATTTTATGTTGGATTTTGGGGTGTTTGTGGAACTTTAACTCTTAAAAGTTCATGGAGACACGCGTACTTTGGGTTCTTCAACAAGATATATGATTGGACATATGTAACAGTTGTTGTCTCTGTGGCAAGAATGAAAAGAAGATTCGAAATGCAACACTGCTAGAAGGTAAAGTGATCGAAGCCTCTTGTTTTGTCAAATGATTTTGTTTGCCTATTCTGCACCAACATAAATTAAATTATGAATGATTTTGTTTTTACTCATTTTACTTGTTGATATTTCTACACTATAATATTAAAGTTCATACTAGATAAAGCCAACATATAATAATAAAATCATATTAATTATTTAAAAGAAAACTATATTCCTTGTTTCTATATTTTTTTAAACTTATCTTTGGTTTTTATATTCTTAAATAATAATTTTAGTATTTTTTAAGATTTTAATTTAATATTTACGAATACTTTTAGTATTTTTTTTAAACTTATCTTTGGTTTTTAATATTTATTATATTTAATCGATTTTGTGAGATTCTTCTTATTTTGTAAGATTTTTTTAATATCTCATCAATCAATTATAAGGTGATTTTGTTTCAAATAATATTTTCAATCATAATATACTTAATATTTTTCTTCTTTTTCAAATATTAAACATATCTTCCAAATATTTTTCTGTTATTTTTTCCTTTAAAATTTAAACAAACATATATTTTAGATTTCTTTAAAATTTAAACATATATTTTAAGTCTGTCCTATATGATGACAGTCTCAACAATTATACATATAATCAAAATCATTTTTAATTGTGTAATTTACGTGTTAAAATCATATCTACATTATTTTTTTCTATCTTTATTATTAACAAGAACCTAGAAAGCATTTTAATTATTAAAGGAATAAAAAAATAAAATATATTTAAAATATTACAAAAATGCAATGCATTTAACCCTTTTAATTTGTTACGGTTGTAGAGTGAATTGCCACAGATGAAAAGTATAATGAATATGTTTGTTTGTGATTTTTATTCTAATCAACATTCAATGTTTTCTTGGTTATATGCTTTACGAATTTCATTTATGGAGAACAAGTGTTGCCGTTCTTTTTATATAAAGATATGTTAATTCTTCAGTAATCAGTAATTATAAAATCTGTTACTAATTGTGTGTTTTGGTCATGATATTGCAGACAATGAAGAGGATTGGAGGGGCCTTCAAGCAGCTTGAATTCCAATCACTCTTCATAAATACTGATAAGATTTCTGCCATTAATTGGCATTTTCCATAAACGAACTCTAGTTGCTGCAATTTCTGTGTTATGATTTACTATTGATACATTCATACCCACTTTTTTTACAGCAAATGTGTTGTTCAATTTCTTTAATTTCAGAAACCCCACATCCTAAAAATATTATACTATTCAATATATTATTATATTTTTAATTAAATAATTAAATAAAGATAGTAAAGTGAGAAAATCAACATAGATTAAACTCTACTCATTCAACTGGGAGTTTATTAAACATTACAGGTGGGAGCGATAGTTAGAACCGTAGATATGTGAAAACGGTAGTCTTACTTTTACTTTAAAATTGATGATAGTTTTTAGTCTAAATTAATTTTAATTAAAAAAATTATTAACATATTTATAGTTAATTAAAATAAAAAATAAAAAAATATTTTTAAAATTAAATTATATTAATAAAGTTAATTTTTATTTAAAATATAATTATTTAATATATAAATTGTAAGAGTATAGATATGTTTAATCTCAAAATAAAAGTTAAAACATATTATACGTTATTATTATTCAATTTTTAGTAATTTATTAATCTAAAATAATAATTAATCTTAATTATTAGTGATTCTTAAAAACTTACTTCAATATTTAATTTTAAACTAAGTGAATTCTTTTTTAAATTAATTTATAATACATTTATATTTTTTTACTAAAATAATATTATTTTTATTTAAAATTAATTATTATAAATCTATAACCTAGCCTAATTTAATTTATTGGGCCAAAATAAGTTTGATTTAATTTAGGTTACACATTTTTTCTAAAATATTTTAAGTAACTTTTGATTGTTTTTTGGTTTGGTGATAATCCCTCTTTTATGGGAGAGTTGGTTGTATGGTCAGAGATTAGGTAGAAATGTGTGTTAGTCCTTATTTTGTGGAGATTTACATATCTCTTTTTGTATTAAAAAAAATTATGGTATCAACAAAATAACTGAAGTTCTCTCCCTTCTTGCCCTTAAACTCTGTATCACGCTCTGTTCTTCTTTATTTTCTGGTTTTGTATTAATTTGCTATTTTGCTGATTTTATAACATGGTATCAACAACTCATTGATTTTAAGAGTATGTGTGGGAGTGAAAATTAGTTAGAAAGTTATATAAAAACCAAAAAAAAAAAATACCAATAACAGATAAAGACATCCAATAGTAGTTCTTTACTTCCACCTCCAGTTTTTGTGGAGAAAATTATGATTTGTGGGCTGCGAAAATGAGAACTTATTTGAGAGCACAAATTTTGTGGGATGTGGTGGAAAATGGAAATAATCCAGCCCCTTTATCCAATGACCCAACTGTGGCTCAAACATGACTCTATAATGAAGAAGTGGCAAAGAAAGGCAGGACACTTATCATCATACATGCAACAATGCACAGTGATGTTTTTATCAAAATATTGAATCTTGAGACAGCAAAAGAGGCTTGGAAAAAGTTAAAGGAGGAGTTCCAAGGTAGCGAAAGAACAAGGAGGATGAATGTGCTAAAACTGAGAAGAGAATTTGAAGCAATCAAAATGAAGGAGTCTGAAACAGTGAAGGAGTTTTCTGACAGATTTTCTAAAGTTGTTACTCAGATTAGATTACTAGGTGAAGAGTTTAAAGATCAAAGAGTTGTGAAAAAAATATTGGTGTGTCTTCCAGAGTGGTTTGAGTAAAAAATCTCCTTTCTTGAAGAGAATAAAGATTTTTCTCATATTTTAGTTGCAGAACTGGTTAATGCTAAGTAGCTATGAAAAAAAGTCTTTTGGTAGAAAGAAAGACAAAGAAAAAAAAGAAGACGACAACAAAAGAGGAGGTAGAAAAGAGAAGTTTTCACCTTGCCTTCACTGTAAAAAGACAAACCATATAGAAAACTACTATTGGTTTAGGCCTGGAGTCAAGTGTAGGCATGACAACGGGGCGGGGGCGGGTTTTGCCTCCCCGTTCCCCGTCCCTGATCCCTGCCGGGGTTAAAAATTAAGTCTTCATCCTCGTTGGGTTTCGGGTTCCCGTCCTCGCCCGTCATCGATCTATATTACTTTTAAAAAGATAATTATATTTATAATAAATTAATTTTATTATGTATTTTTTTATATATAAATAAATATTTATAATTCTATAATTATTATTAATTAAATATACATTTTAATTTATTATATTTATATTAAAATATTTATGTAAAAAGAAATATTTAATTATTTTTTATTTATATATATATATATATAAAATATTTATAACATTATTATTATTATAACACTTTATTCAAATATTTGAATACTTATAATATTATTATTATAATATTATATTTAAACATTTAATTATATATATAAGTTAATTCATTTTTAAGTTGTCATTTAAAATATGAAATATATATTTTATAAGAAAATATTAAATAAGTTAATTCTTATTTAATTAGTTTGAAGTAATAAAAGTTTAAATTATCAATTCCTTTTAATCCTTTAAAATACAATTATTTTATTAAGATAAAATTTGATATATGATAAATAAGAATAATAAGATAAAAAAATGACATAATAAAACCTAATAAATATACATTATAAATAAAATAATATTAGTTACTACTAAGATTTATGTAAAATATTTAGAAAAAGATAAAGAAAAAAAAACTTTGTGTTCATCAAATTGGTTGAAAAGATTGAAAAAAAAACAAATTGATGGGAGAGATTAAGAAAATGTAAAAAACTAAAATGTAAGAGAAAAAATAATGTAATAAATTAATTGATATAAAAGATTAAAAAAGACAAAAAAATAAAAAGTGGGTAGAAGAAAAATAAAAAATAACCTTATATGTAATAGAAAAAGAAAAGAAAATAATTTTAAAATATTAATATTTTAAAATTAAAATTAAATATAAAGTCGGGACGGGGATGAGGTCGGGGTTAGGGTGGGGATTGCATTACCCATTCCTGCCCCCGCCCCCGACTTTTTAAAGCGGAGAAAACTTGAACTCGCCCTCGCCCCTGGTCAACTCGGGTTTTCCCGTCAAACTCGGGGTAGAGACGGGTCGGTCTCCACGGGTGCGGGTTTAATTGTCATCCCTAAGTGTAAGGTCTGTAACCAGCTTGGTCATGTAGAAAAAGTTTGCAAAAACAAGGCAAAGCAGCAAGGACAACAAGCTCAAGTTGTTGAGTACCAAGAACAGAGTGAGGAGTAGTTTTATTGCTTCTTGTTATTCTGCAAGTAGCAGCAAAGAAGTTTGGCTCATAGATAGCGGGTGTACTAATCATATGACTCATGATGCTAATTTTTTTAAGGAACTTTATCAGTCCAATTGTCCAAAGTCACTATTGGCAATGGAGAAAATGTTGATGTCAAAGGAAAAGGAGTGGTTGCTATTGAGACTCCTACAGGTACCAAATATATTTCAGATGTTTTATTTGTGCCTGAGTTGAGTCAAAGTCTTTTGAGTGGTTGCTGTTTGTAGATGACTTAAATGGCAGTAGATATTTTCTGCTGTTTGTAGATGACTTTACAAGGATGAGCTGGGTGTTTTTTCTAAAATAGAAATCAAAAGTGCTTGCTGTTTTTCAAAAGTTCAAGCTGGTAGTTGAAAATGAGGTTGGAAGCAAAATAAAAAACTCAGATATGATAATGGAACTGAGTATACAGCAGGGGAATTTCAAAAATTCTGTGCACAAACATGAATTCAACATCAATTGACTGTTCCTTACATCCCTCAGTAAAATGGGATGAGTGAAAGAAAAAATAGGACCATTATAGAGATGACAAGGTGTTTACTCTTTGAAAAAAATCTTTCCAAAACCTTTTGGGAAAAGGCGGTTAACACCTCTACATACTTGCTGAATATGTTGCCTACCAAAGCCTTGGAAGGCAAAACACCTTATAAAGCATGGTATGGAAGGAAGCCCTCGGTGGAATATCTCAAAATATTTGGCTACATATGTTATACTCATATTTCAGGTCTAAAGAAAGATAAAATGAATCACAAGTCAGAAGTTGGTGTTTTCTTGGGGTACTCCAGTAACTCCAAAGGTTATAGGATTACAATCCTTTGACAAAGAAGATTCTCATTTATAGAAATTGAAAGTTTGATGAATTTTCTAGATGGAATTGGGAGAAATGCAAGGTAGAAGCCTTAAGTAAAAAATATCTTGGAGTAGACACTCTCCAAGAACAATATTCAGAGATTGAAGAAGAAGATTTAGATAATGATGATGATAATTTTCCAATTAGAGGCATTAAAACTCTTGCTGAAATTTATGAAAGATGTAACATTGCTGCACTAGAACCTAAAGAATATGATGAAGCAGCTGAAATAGATGGATGGAGATGTGCTATGCAGGAGGAGATGAATATGATTAAAAAAAACAAAACTTGGCAACTTGTAGACAAGCCTACTAAACACAAAGTTATTGATCTTAAGTGGGTTTATAAAACCAAATTGAATCCTGATGGTTCTATAAACAAGCTAAAGGCTAGACTAGTTGTTAAAGGCTATCATCAATAACATGGTGTTGATTTCTTAGATACATTTTCTCTGGTGGCAAGACATGATTACAATTAGGTTACTAGTTGCATTGGTAGCAAAAATGGGTTGGAAAATTTATCACTTTGATGTGAAATCAGCTTTTTTTAAATGGTTTACTTGAAGAGGATATCTTTGTTGAACAACCTAAAGGCTTTGTTGTTCTAGGGAGTGAAAACAAAGTCTACAAACTTCAAAAAGCTCTTTATGGATTAAAGCAGGCTCCTAGGGCTTGGTATAGCAGAATTGATAGTTATCTACTGCATAAGGAGTTTAAACGGAGTGAAAATGAAACTACTTTGAATGTGAAAAGGTCAAGCAATGAAGTGCAAGCGCATTATTTCCTTATATGTTGATTATTTGCTAGTTATTGACAATAATTCAGATTCCTTGAGCAGCTTTAAGCATGACATGGAAACTGAATTTGAAATTACTAACTTGGGAGAAATGAATTATTTTCTTGGAATGGAGATTCACCTATGTGATGTTGGAATCTTCATTACACAAAGAAAATATGCTTTGGAAATATTGAAGAAGTTTTCTATGCAGAATTGTAAACCTGTAAACACACCCCCTGTTGTAAATGAAAAGTTGTCACTTGATGATGCTTGCAACAAAGTAGATACTACTACTTATAGAATCTTAATTGGAAGTTTATTATATCTTACAATCACTAGACCAGACTTAATGTTTGCTACAAGTTTGCTATCCTGATTTATGCATTCTCCTAGTCAAGCTCATTACCGTGTAGCAAAACGAGTATTGAGATATATAAGAGGGATAACTGATTATGGTCTATGTTTTTCAAAAGATGAAAGTGGTGATCTTCAAGGATATGCAGATAGTGACAGGAAGTTTAGATGATGCTAAAAGTACATCAAGTTATGTTTTCTCATTTGGTAGTGGAGTTTTCTCTTGGAATTCAAAGAAACAAGATGTGGTGGTTCAATGCACAACTGAAGCTGAATATACTTTAGCTGTAGCGGCTGCAAATCAAGCCATTTAGCTTAGAAAAATTTTGCATGATTTGATGGAACTGAATGATGAAGCTACTGCCATATGGGTTGATAACAAGTCAGTCATTGCAATTGTAAAGAATCCTGTCTAGCATGGTTTTACAAAGCACATCAAGGTGAAATATCATGTCAGTCGTTAGAGAAGCAGAGAAATCAAATAAAATCAGCGTAGAACATTGCAGTTCAGAGAATTAGATTGCTGATATTATGACCAAAGCACTTTCCAAGAATAAGTTTGAATTTCTAAGATCAAAGCTTGGAGTATTCAAGAAAAATCTCAAGGAGGAGTGTTAGAAATTGAATTTTTTCTAAAATACTTTAAGTAACTTCTTATTGCTTATTGGTTTGGTGATAATCCCTATTTTATGGGAGAGTTAGTTGTATGGTAAAAAATTAGGTAGAAATGAGTATTAGTCCTTATTTTGTGGAGATTTATATATCTCTTTTTGTATTAAAAAAAAAACCTTTATGGTATCAACACAACAACTAGAGTTCTCTCTTTTTTTTATCGTTGAACTACGTATCACGTTCGTTCTTCTTTATTTTCCGGTTTTATATTACTTTGTTGTTTTGTTGATTTTATAACAATCATGGCCTAAATAGATTGGGTCAAAACAAGTTTGATTTAATTTATGTAACACATTTTTTGACTTGATCTGACCTATTTTTTTACGTTTTTCGAGTCAACCTATTGGATTAAGGTTATTTTAACATCTCTAAAATTAGCTCTAAAAACATATTAAAAATTATAAGATATCTAATCTAATCCTATAAAATTGAATCAATAAAATGAGGATTGGACTTAATTATATTATATACTATAATATTATAATATTTCTAATTCATGTGAGATTTTATCATGCTTCTTCTTGAAGAAGATTTTTCATTACACTTCTTATGTCGGGAAGAACTTTTCGTCAAATTTTAATCCATTTTTGAAGACATTTTCAATAAACCATCATATATTTTGAACTTCATTTTTTATTTTATTTAAAAATAGAAACAGAAAATGCTCAAAGTAAATATCTTGGTATGAGGCGTGAACAAGTTAGAGTTTGATTGCTCACATGAACGAATATAAGCATGCAGATTTGACACTTGTTACAGAATGGCTTCAAATAGACGAAGAGAGACACCAAACAGTGGTGGTGGTGATCCTTTTGGACTAAGCTGCTTCCTTTATGTTAAACGGCATCTTGCTGTCTGGTGTGTTAGACCTGCTCCACCAAAGACAATTGCTGTTACCCTGCCCAAACAAACACTCTGCTGTGATGGACCATCTTATGCTTTCAGGACCACACACTACATGACATCAGACTTATTCTTATCTTATAAATAAACAGAACAAGCAGACTCTAATGGAACAACACATTCGGAAATTAAAGATGGTGATGTCTTGAGGAAGCACTTCCCTAATGTCAAACTTTTATTGGATTAAACAAACTCTATTTTCCACTGTGATTATTAATTTAATACAACATGAGGAATGGACCTTAGAATGTACACAAAAGTGATCTATAGAGGGTGTTACAATTGGGTAAAATCCCACTTCAGGTTTGAGATAATCATAATATAAAACTGCAGCCACACAATAAAATACAAGGACACCCAACACCCCGACACTTATAAGTAAATAAGAGTATGAAAAGATTTTGAACTTTTTCTTGTTATTAAGTAAACTAAGAGCATCCACAACCCACCAAGCTGTTTGAGGTTCTTAAATGTCATCATAGAACCTCACTCATTTTTTACTTGTGTTATCTATAAAACATTAAGTTGTAAAAAAAAGAAAAGAAATAAAAAACCATAACTATTTTCATAAATTGATGTACCTTAATATTTCATCATATTTAGGATTTGCTATACATATTACCAAAATTTACAATTAAATTATTGTGTTCAACAACTGAAATTAGTTACTATTTTCATTCTATAAAGTGTGTTGCTGACTTTGTAAAAGCCATATGAAATAAAGGACAGCCCTCCACCATAAGTCTCCCATTAAGAATTGCTTGAAGTTGGTTGTTCTAGTCCTGCCTAAACCACAGAAGTAGCTGTTATTCCTGAAATGATACAAAAATATATTATAATGCTGATCATGATTCTTGGCCCACCAATAACCTTCAAAGAACTAGTTTTTGAGTCTTGCCACCCCATCTTAGAGTCTTCCCACTTAATCTTATTTTGGTCCACAAACATAATCAAAGACAATTATCATATGCAGCATAAAGCAAATACAATATCTTAATAGACAAGAAGGTTCGGAGATACTTTAGCGTTGTTTTTTTTACATGTATTATTTCAACGCTCAACTATGAGTATTTGGTGAAGAACCATCTTTGAAATTAGACAAAGACAAAAGTTAATAGTAAAAGTGCTCTACATATCTTTTGCTCTTCTTTACAGTATAGAAGATATAACTCCACTTTGCTGTTGCTTTACACAAGAACCTTTTCCTCAAAACATGAAATTTATCCAATTTATCTCAATGATTCTAGTCAGGGTAGCCACACAGTTCCATGGGTTCATTGAGATCCTAATTCATGTAAAGAATCAGGGTCCTCCCCCTGAAGTAAATACCAATTAGCATTGCCTTCTGATGGAGGAAACTGCTTAGAAGAGGCACGTGTTAGATAAGATAGATCATGTGCTCTTCAATGGTTCATATTGGAATTGGAAACACTCCTCTGGATTGGCATAAAAGTAGTCTTCTTCTTTGGGTCTGTCTGGGATGACAACTCTTCTTTTGGGGTTTCCCATCCTATTGGCATGAGTTTTCTTCACCATAATGGAAAACTCATCCCAACTCAGTGACCCATTGGTGTATTGATCTATGAGGTGCACCAAATGCTTTCTATCAAGTAATATAGTCCTTTTGAAGCCTAAAAATCTGAAGAGCAAGAAGCATGATATTAGTAAAAAGAGAATAAAATTAGTGTTAAGTTTAAGGTATCAAGCAATCTCAACATGATAACGTTGGCACGAATAACAAAACCAAGAAAAAGAAAAAGGCTGTGTTTGCAAGTGCACTCAATGGCTAAGATAATGTAGCAGGGACCAAAATAATAATCTATCTGCAAGTAAGATTATAATGCATGTTAAGTTGTTCATCATGAACTTCCCTATCTTATCTACATATGATTTGGGAAAAGGGGGGAAAAGCCAGCATATATTTCATTAATAATTGGAACCCGAATGAAATCAACTCATGAGGTCACAGAAGATGACTCCTTGTAAACTATCTGCCACTTTAGTAAGTAATACCTTCGATGCCCTTCCACAACCTTAGCCATGTTCCCATCATAGGTTGGAATGAATATATCACTCTCTAGAGACACAAGGTAATCCAGTGCTGCCATTTGTGATGAGTGGTTTTGAAAATACATCAAATCTGAAGGTTCTAGCAGAGTTTCCTTCCTCACCTGTTGCAGTTAAAGCACATATAGGTTACAAAATAACGTATATAAAAATTATAGAAATATGATTTTGTTTTCTACTGACCACATTTGGAAAAGCTGCTCGTAAACTTGCCATCCTTCTCCCTCCACCATATATTTCTCCAGCAGCAATATAAATTTGAATACTTTGATCAATGCCTAGAGCTGTCAATACCAGTGTAGTCTCCTCGGGTGTCAAAGGGCATAGACCATCTTGTCTCTTGAGCTCAGAATTAATGACTTTTTCCTTCCACCAGGGATAAGCATATCTGAAAAATACAATTTTCCAATATTACATTCAAAGGGTAACTTGAGAAGCAAAATTGATACAGCGACACTGACATTATTAGTTCAGAATTTAACATACCTCATTCTTGTGAGTTCCTCCACCTCCCTGCTGTCACATCCTTGAGTACAGCCAGAGAAGGCCAACATGTCCATCTCATATCTAAGGTGAAGTACAAGGAAGGGTCCCTTTTGCCTCAAAATTCTGACTATCTTCCTACCAAGTTCCTCAATCTGGGAAGTAAACCTCAGAGCATTATAATTTACACGGCATCGCAGCCTTTGAATCTCCAAAGGTAGTCCATTATTGGCAAGTCGAGCATCAGTTCTGTTTAGGTGCACAACCTTGTGCTTCAGTAACAGAGGAAGGATCTGCGATAAGCAAGTAGGAAAGTGAGCTGAATTCAAGTAACCAATAAATTGATAAAGAAAAAAAGTCATGTTAACCGAGTAAAAACCTGTTTTTCATAGTATGATATATCCGACCAGCTAACTGGCGGCAATGAATAGAATAATCCTTGCTCAACTCTTTTCTTGAGCCTAGGTGGTAGTTGCTTTAATATTCTAACTTCATCTCTTAAGGATCCAATGAAATTATCTACATCAAATATGTCTTGGAACTCACTGCCACATCAAGGGAAGGACAACATTTCAATTAAGAAATCAAGATGATAACCATGCAAAGAAACACTTCCTGAACTGAAATCATGATGTAGCAATAGGATGTGCAAACCTTGGATCAGCCCAGAAAGATGTTTTATCCAGCTCCGGAACTATGAGTGTAACATTTAAACGTCTTGCAATAGCAACCATGTCACATATCTGTACAAGAGAAAACAAAATTTTGAGCAAGACAGAATCAGACTTTGATTTTTAATGCCTGCAGTGAATTTAACAAAGCATTGGCACTCACAGCTGCTCGCATTTGGTTGAGTCCTCCATTGCACGAAACCATAAGATAACCATTATTCTTATGAATTCCTGATAAAAAGAATCATCATATTCCTCCCTCAGTCATAACTAATCATAAAATTCTTTAGCAAATACATATATACAAAGCTTAAAATGTCGCCATTCTTTGAACAAAAATCACAGATCATCTAATAAGGAATTTCCTATTCTTAAAGAAATCCTTAATATGATTTTTAAAAAACAGTTCGCTGCAGAAATTTCTGCAAGATTAAGGTTTTTGGGGTGTCTGAGACCACATCGTGATCACAATTACAGTTACTTAGGCCGAGTATATTGCATTTTCCGGCAATACCAACTGTGAAACAGAGATCGCAACCGCCATTTAAAACCTTACAGATCAAAATATAGCTACAGAGACTCAACAATCATAGGACAAACCAAGCACTTACGTTTGGGTGGAAGCACAACCTTTGCTGGAACAAAAGCCTCTGCAATAGCTGGAAATGCATCTTGGTGGCTGAAACAATAAGGCATGCCCTTCAACAATCTTGGTCCCCACAACTCCCCAATTGCCATCAGCTGAACCACACAAGTCCAAAGTATCACTGTAGTGATGGCACGGGCCATCCACACCTTGATCCTAGGTCTCACAATCAACCTCTTGGACTTGACAATTTCATCACCACCCAAAACATTGAACCCCATCTCCATCTCCTCACTGTCACAGTGATCACCTTTTCCATCAGAAACCCTTGTCCACCTCAACATCATTGCCTTTTTATTCCTTCACTTTTTGCTTACTCCCCAATCGGTGGTGTGAGTTTAACTCCCCAGTCTTCAATCGAGGGCCGTAAAACAACAATTAAAAGAGTGAGAAACAAAAAACAAAATTCTTGAATTTAGTGATGCTAATAAATGCCATGAATCAAGCAAGGCCAAAAACAAATGTTTAGAGGCTTGATGTTCGTTTGGATCTTTCAACTAAATATTAAATGCTAATTAAACAAAAACCATTGACCTCAAAGTATAAATAATTAAAATCAGAAACCAAAAAATGGAATAATTAAACCCCCCACATCGCACCAAACAAGGAAATTCTCCAAATTAACTCCAATCACACCTTGAAACCATAAAACCAAATTGAATTTTCAGAATCCACATCACTTAAAAGATTGTTCGTATTGTGACTTTCACACAACAATGACAACTGGTATTACCACCACACTACATTCAAGATCATGCAAGTAAAAACCATGAGCTTGGCCAGTGAAGAATACCCAGAAGAAAAGTTGTGAATTTAAACTGAAATTCCCTCAAGTGGGTCTAATATTCAGAGGTTTCCAATTGCATTGCTAAGGTGAATGAGTAGCAACACAGAACAAAAGAAGAAACTGTGTAAAAGAGTGTTGTGTGAGCTTTGTGTTACTTGGAACAATAATGGTGAAGAAGGTGAGTTTGGAAGATGGGAAGTTTGATTTTTCCGGCGGTTTTCCGGTAAGATACCGGCGATGGTCGCCGGAGAAGAAAGGTGGAGAAGGAAAATGGAAAGAGTTGGTATAAAAAGAAGAAAAAATGTGGGAAAAAGAAAGCTATAATTAAGGCGGTAGAGAAGGTGGCATTAGTAAGAGAGGTGTTGTGTGGGACCTTTTTAACTGTAACAAACCCCACTTTCCACTTTTTCTATTTTTTTTTAATTATTTTATTATTTACTCTCTCACATTTCTATTCTAAATTTTTCACTTATCCACCAATTTTAAATGTCATTTTTTTCTCCTTATTTTAAGAATACATGTAATCTTTTAATCAAAGACATTTCTATAGAAAAAAAATGTAAAATTTTATTCTACTAAAAAGAAATTACTATAAGACAGTAAAACTTTTCATCTTCATGCTTTATTTTTTTTTTCACTTTCATTATATATTTTATTTTTTATTTTTTTTCATTTTTAGATGTAGATTAAAACTATTATCTTACTGGTCTGAATAAAATTGTATAAAATCTTAAAAAAAATATCATATTGAAAAGACTTTTGATATGATAAATAATCTTAAATTATCAAGAATTAGAATTCAGGAAGTTTTATTTTTTTTTCATGTTTGGTTTAGCTTTTAAAAAATTATATTCTCGATAAACATTTTTTTTACATGTTTCTCAAAATCATTTCCATGGAAGAGATTGGAAGAATTTAACTGTCTTATTTAATATATATATATATATATATATATATATATATATATATATATATATTCTCAAAATCTTATTTACATGCTTCATTTGTACTGTCTTATTTAATATACATATATATATAATTATTTTTTACAAAATATTATTGATGAACCAAGTATATTTTAAATTTTTTTTAATATTTTAGTAGTTCTTGGTACTTTTAACTCTTAAATATCATTATTCTCCTTAAATATGATTTTCTAAATACATAAAAATTCTTCTATAACAAACATCCTTAAAATAATCAACCAAGTATATTTAACAAAATTTAATCATAAATAAAAACTGGTTAATACTCCCAACTATCATAGTTAACAAAAATAGTTAAAACTAATAATCCTCCTAAAGTTTAAGTATATTCCTTTCGGGTAAGAGATTCTTTTTTATATTTTTATTTTATTTAAATATGTAGAGTTTCTTTAAAAATTCACGCAACTTGTTTATATAGTAAATTTATTTAAATTAATAATACAATACACTACTGGTACAATTTCATTAATTATTTTATGAACTTTTAATTAAGGTGAGAGGCTTAATTTGAATAATATAATTAACCAAGATGGAGTTTGGGATAATCCAGTAGAGAAGGGTGCATGATATCGTGTGAATTCAGATGAATCTAATGATATACAAATTTACCTCTATTGTTTCCAATTCATTTTTTATTTTAAATCTGGTTAAAATGTTTTTTAATATAAAATGATAGATTTGATCATTTAAAATATATAAAATTTTAATTTAATTTTAGAGATAAAATAAAATAAAATTCTAAAAAATAGTTTCAATTTTTTATAATGTATATTTAAGTAAGTTTCTAGTAATTTTTTATTTTACGATAAAATACACTTTGATTTATAAGTAAGAAATACATTAAAATATATACATGTTTGAAGTAAAAGATAAATAAAAATATAAAAATAATTTTAAAACTATTTATTGATTTTATTTATATATATATATATATATATGATAATAATTAATATATGTCAAAATGAAATGTAACTTTTCACATATTTTCAAAATATATAAAGTGAAGAAAAATGAAGCACATAAGATATCTTATTATTATGATTAGATGATGATACTAACATTAAATCTTAAAATCTCCTATAAATTATCTAAATTTAATCTCTTGGTACCTAGTGTGGGTTTAAGATACTTCTTATATGCATACATCACTTCTTTTATATAATTTTTAATTACGACATTTATGTAAATATATGACTCAACTAAAATAATAATAATAATAATAATAATAATAATAATAATAATAATAATAATAATAATAATAATAATAATAATAATAATAATAATATGTTATTGGTTCGAGCATCATTAAGTTAAAAAAATTTAAATAAGATATTCAAGAATTTATAAGTTAAAAAATATAATTAGAAGAAAAAACTCACAATAGATCATAAGTAAATATATAAATATTAAAAGTAAAATTGGTAAAAGTGCCATATCAATCATAGTAAAAAAAAAAGAGTAATATATTTTTTAAAAATGAGTATAGATTAATTTATTTTAAAAAATTTGCAAAAATGTCATTTAATCTCTAAAATTACAAAACGAGGGTCGTTTAGTTATTATTGTTTTATAAAATTAAAAAATTAAAATGGTTGTGTAATCATGTTTAGAGACTAAAATGAGTGTTGATTCATAATTTCAAGAACTATAATATTTTATAATTTGTAATTTATTAATTTAAGCTATAATTTTATGTGATACATTATGAGTCGAATAAATGTTGCTACCATTCTCTAGATGTGACATGTTTCATTTAGTATACGAAGTTATTTTATATGAATGAATTCCATGAAGCCGTAATAAAAAAAATGGATGAATCAAAATTGGATTCATGGACCCAATAATAACTATAGACAAATGGACAAAAATGCTTATGTGAAGAATAATTATTGATCTGAAAATGAGTTATTTTTACATGAGGCAAAATGATGGGAAAGAGACAACCCAAAATAATTTAACTCAGAAGAAGATTAGTACTTCATAGAAAAATTTGTCATCCACTTAAAAATAATACATGTGCTAAGAACTAATAATTCTAGATAATAAAATAAACAAGTTTTGGTAAAGTAAAATTCAAAATAAAAAAACCAGCTAGAAAAGAAGAAAATAAAAGTGTAGACTTTATTGACTATGGAAGGTTCATGTTAAATCCAACGTTGCTAAACTTTTTAACAATCAAAACTATTTAGTCTTCTAAAGTTTCAATCAATCAGGCCAATATCTCATTGCTCTTCGTGATTAAATTTCATAAAAGCCTTTAAAACGCGTATAGCTGAAACTTTTGTCACGAAACCAATAAATCACTTATATTCAACTTTGCTAGGCCTATAACTTAAATATTTGATGATGGAGATGCTAATTACTTTTCAATAAAAATTTCCATCTATTGCTAATTATTTATAATATGCATCTTCGAAAATGAAGAATAAATAGGTGATGAAGATATAAATTTAGATTCAAAGATCTGGGAAAATAATTGAATTTAATAAAATAATATTTTTATAATATAATAAGTTGATTAATAATTTTTTTTATGAAAAAATAATAAAGATTATTATCATACTCATTATAAATTTTATTAAAAATTAAAAATATATTAAAAAACATAAAATAAATAGTTATTAAAATAAAATAAAAACATCATACACTAACTAATATTAATATTAATGTGACCAAAAGATAAAAAAATTAAAATATATCATATTTTTTACTAAAAATTAAATTAAAAAATTTATTTTAATTTTTTTTACCAAAACTGATTTAATAAAAAAATTTAATATATATATTTTTATCTCAATTTTTTTTTATTTTTGTGTCAATTTAATTAAAATTCAATTATTTAAAAGGAATAAATTGATTTTTAGGTGAATTTCAATTAAATCCAATTTTCAATACAGTAATATATATATATATATATATATATATATATATTATCATAATAATAAAAAATTATACTTATTTTTCTTTAATTATAAGATTAAGAGTAATTATTATTTTCAAAATTTTAATATAGTGTTAAATTTAAAAAATTACTATAAAAATAGTAAAAAATAGAATAAAAAACGTATTTAACATTTTTCAATTAATAAATTAATTATGGAATGTAGAAATTAAGAAAACATTTTTTTTTTCAAGTCTCCATCGTGTAGAATCTCACCAGTTTTATATAAAAAGAAAGTCGAGACGTAGTAAAAAAAAGAAAAAAGTTAAATATCATTTACATTTTCCAACAAGGTTTCCCATTGGTGGCATGGTTGGTAAAGTAACTAACTACGTACGCAATACGACCATATGATAAAATAAATCCCTTATGTATGTATTTGTGTCTCTTGTCGTCCGTGACGATCAGTTGCTACCAACTCAGATTTCAGACCCTCTCACGTGAGTAAATATGAAACCCATCTTTCCAACACATGCACTTCTCACGTGAGTAAATATGTGTTGATTTTACTCTTTTATATATAAATCTTTTCATCGTTTTATTAATTTTATAAATTTAAATAAACCAAAAATT